CTGGACTGGTAGGCAGCTTTTATACAGTAGTTTCTTCTTTGAGTACTTTCTTACAGGTTCTGTTCTGTTAGGGTCAAAGCCAGACTACAGTTTGAAATCTTAACGTTATCTGTTCAGAACGTAGAGCTGGCTCTCCAGGGGCTGCTGCTGATTGTGTTGAGACAACACTCCTCTCGCATTCCTTCCCCACAGAGCTAAGATGCTGCCAGCCATGTGTCTCGTCCTAATGGGAGAAGAAAACAAATTGCCTTTGTCTCTCTGAGCTTGAACAATTTGTAGTTTTCTATTTCTCATGAGATGACAAGACATTGCTTTATTTCTAGACTTGAATTGCTTTCCACATGGCTATTGCATCTGACCACCCTCTCCTACTCTGCCACGTTGCTAAGGGCAGCACAGAAAGTCATAGTGGCAAGGTCCTTCGGGATGGACCACCCACACTTGCTCTCTGCTTATCTGTAACAGAATGGTTACAGACAGATAGGCTATAGGAATGAATGTAGACAGCTTTGCAGTGGATTCGCAAATACTGAAAAGCTGGACATTTGTTTGAACTGAAATATCACCAGTTTTTATCTTGGGTAGGCTACTGGGAGACAGAGAAGCAAAGGTGCAATGTAGTCCCGTAACACTGAGACCCCCACCCCATTGAATTCAGGTCCTTCAAGCACTTGGGACTTCAGACTCTCATTTTACATTTTATATTTTTAAAATTGTGAAATGGAAAGCATCACTTGTTACTGTCAATGAAGTTCCCCCAACGGGAACATCTTAGATTTGCTGGCACCTTTGAGGAAGGGGCTCCTGCATGAGATATCAGCAGCAATTTTAGAAATTAATTTCCCTATGTTTTTGTTTTGCCTTTTTTTTCCCCTTTGTTTGCCTCATCCCCAAGTACCTCTTCTTTCTGTTTAACATATGATGCGTGTGGGGAGGACGGGTGCACTTATGTTATACTCTAAAATGCTATTATAACCTTTGTTTCAAAAAAAACATTTCCACTGGGCATGGTGACACATGCCTTTAATCCTAGCACTCCAGAAGCAGAGGCAGGCAGATCTCTGTGAGTTCAAGGCTTACATAATGAGTCCCGGCCAGCCAGGGCTATGTAGAGAGACCCTGTCTCAAAAGGGGGAAAAAAAGGAAAAAGAAAAAAATTGTTTGGCTTTCGTCAATCCATTGCAAAAGTGTGAAATGTAAGCACTTGTACCTTTGTATGGGGGGTGGGGGAGAAGAGTATTGCTTGTCCTTCAGTAGGCTCTGAAAGTCACTGACACGCAACTTAAAGGGAAAATAGATGTTGCCAAAGTCAGTATTCGGTCCTTGGTTTTCTTGTGACTTCATCTTGTCTGCTAAGCGATGAGAAACCTTCCTTACCTGCTGACTGGTCCTTGCTGTGTGCAAATGGCTTTCCAGTATCTGCCAGTTTGCCTCAGTATTCTTGTCAGTTAAAAGGAATGAGGAAAATTACACTTTCGCTGTCAATTAACATCTCATTTTTTGTTCCCTATGGTAACTAACTGTATTGCCGCTAATAACCAAGATGCTAATTGATTACAGCTGGCTAAAAAGACCTTTTTATAGACAAAGATTTGTGTATTTTCAACTGATATAGCAAATTCATTTGTGTCCATTTGAATATTACACAATAAACAGATAACTGCAGATTCCATCTTCCTTCTTTGTGTTCTTTGAATAAAGTTCTTGATAGATTGTTTACACCTGTGTTTACCTGTATGAACTCTATGAAATATTATTTTGCTTAAACCACTTGAGTCCTTAAGATCAACATTCACTAGTCAGTCTCTTCAGTTTCTGTGACGTGGAGCTCCTAACACTAAGGGATTAGTGTTAACTTTCCCCAGGGGTATTCTACTAGGGCATTACTGTTTAATGACTTCAGAACATATTTTAAGGATTTTGTTTATTGACCACCAATGTCTTATTGCAAAGTATGAGCCTACCAGTCTTGGTTAAACTGTACATAGATAGCTGTTAACTAGTATAGTGTATGTGAGATTGCCTGTAACATTTGAGTTTCTTACTGATGTGTGCTGGAGGGACAGTTTTTGTACATTGTATTTACTTACTGGAATCTTGCCTTTTTAATCTTACAGATACTTTAGAATTCAAATATGTTTTCTGCTTCTGTAAGAATGTGGGAAAGCTTTTAATGGCATTCCATTGATTTCAGGTCTTGCTTGAGGTTGACTTTAATAAATTGTCCTGTATGGTCTACTTAAGAATACGGGCTTGTTCTTTATATCTTTACTTTTATGGTACAGTTTACTGGGAAGTGAGACACAAAATACATCCACTCACCCTCAGCCCAGTCTTTTTCCTTTGAAATGCTAAGAAATCGTTTCTTTAAAGTGGGTTTTCTGGTTTGTTTTTGTAGAGGAATCGTCTCTGGAGAATGGCGTCCCTTTTTCGTGTCCTATAAGCTGATCTGGGTGATTGGTAAAGGACACTTTTATCACATTGTTTTGAGACCAAAAGGTGGCCTGCTGTTTGGACAATAGTCGGGTCATGCAGATCAACCAGAGGACAGTGCCTGTGATTTGCTAGGTGGCACTCAGAACGCAGCAAATGAGCTCTGCATTTCCTGCTTCCCGGGGGCCCCGCTGGTACAGCCCCCTCGGAGTCCGCTAGGTGGCGCTGGGCCCCCGGCGGGCGGAACCACGGCACACCGGAGCCACGTCAGCGTCCGATCCGCGGGCGGGCCGCGCGTGTGGCGGGATGGGGCCGGCGGCCCTGGGAGCCGAGCTGGGCGTGCGGGTCCTGCTCTTTGTGGCCTTCCTGTAAGGATCTGTCTATGCTCCCGGGCGTCCCAGGGCGCCCGCACTTGATAAGTGCAGCTCTTCCGCGAGGTGGCCTGTCAACCTTCCCCGCTTCCTCCTCAGGGTGACCGAGCTGCTTCCTCCCTTCCAGCGGCGGATCCAGCCCGAGGAGCTGTGGCTCTACCGGAACCCGTACGTGGAGGCGGAATACTTCCCCACCGGCCGCATGTTTGTGCGTGAGCAGCCCTCCCGCCTTCCTCCCCCTGGCGCCGACTCCTCCCTCCCTGTGCTGGTGGCCCAGGACTTGATCCTCGAGTCCCAGGTCTAGGGCAAGCCGTGGTGGGCTCGCGGAGCCCGAGGTCAGTGCGCGGCAGCTGGTGGCGGCGCGGCCAGGAGGGACTTGATGTTCCCTGCCCTGTGTTCTCCTTCAGGTCATTGCCTTCCTCACTCCACTGTCCCTCATCTTCCTCGCCAAGTTTCTGAGGAAAGCTGACGCCACCGACAGCAAGCAAGCCTGCCTCGGTCAGTCGCCCTTCCAGTTGTTCCTGTCGTAGTGTTGGCAAGTAGCTGTGGGGTTCGGCCACTCTGCACCCCTAAAGCATGTCCTCTTACCCCACCTGTTACCCCACGAGGCCAAAAAGCAGGAGTACTGTTAAGAACGTCCTTAGCACAGGCACCACCCAGGTGTACCTCGGTGCTGTCCCTAGGCCATCTAGTGTTTCTGGAGCTGGAACAAGGGCCAGTTGCCTTTATGCTCCATTCTGGTTGGGTTCTACCCCAGAGCAGTGAAGGCTCTGTTGATGGTGGTGGCATACCCTTCCCCGAGCAGATGGCACTGACAGCTTCTTTGCTTTCCAGCTGCCAGCCTTGCCCTAGCTCTGAATGGCGTCTTTACCAACGTGATAAAACTGATAGTGGGCAGGTAAGCGAGAGACCTCGGCCCGCCCTCGGCCTCCACCATTGGTCGCAAGTGTTGTTTCCCTGGATTCTCACACTGGTCTTTCTCACCAGACCTCACTCTCCCCACCCTCTGCCTGTTCTAAACGTACCACCTGGTCTGTGTCCTGTCCTAGTTCCCACAGCGACAGCCTTTACTGTACCTGAAGCTGGAGAGTGATTCGCTGCTCTTGTGCTGAGATACAGTCATATGCTAGAGACTTTCTTCACCATTGGCCATGTGACTAAAGCCTTTTTCTCAGGAGGAACACTAATCTAACCTTATTACATTATTTTGCCTATGACAGTGGTTAACAGATTATAATTGACATCTACTATTACTGAAAAACACTTTCTGAGAGTAAATTATATGTGCTCAAAGTCCCCTTATTTCTTCCAGGCCACGCCCAGATTTCTTCTACCGCTGCTTCCCCGATGGGCTGGCCCATTCTGATTTGACTTGCACAGGGGACAAGGACGTGGTGAATGAGGGCAGAAAGAGCTTCCCCAGCGGACATTCTTCCTGTATGAGTTACCTCAGTACTGACATGTATCTGTATTTCGCTTGTATGTGTGTATGCATGCTCTAGGAGCTAGAAGGCGGTGTTAGGTCCTCTGGAAGTGGAGTCAGAGACCAACATGAGTTGCCATTGTGAGTGCTGGGAACTGAACCAAGGTCCTCTCAAAAGCTAACTGCTGCTGAGTCAACTCTCAGCTCCTCAGGCTCCAATGTGTACTTAAAATATGGTTACATATAACCTACAAGGCTCTGTAAAAATCTTTATTCAAGATTTATTCAAGATTGTGAGGGGGCCACTGAACCTTCTATATTGTTACCTTCATAGCTCCCAAGGACCCAGCAAGGTATATTCTATTATTTTTGTAATAGAATTTATAGATGAGTGTACAGCACTGTCCACAGTGATAACTTCTCTTCCAGAAACTACTGTTACTTAAAACACTCTGAGACAGAAAATAAAGTCCTTCACCCCCTTTCCCTGTAGTCAGGAGGGATAAGCCCTGCTCTTGCTCCCTGCCCTGTCTGGCCATGAGTGACGGGCGGGGCTCCTGCAGAAGGACACACAACTCACAGGTCTTCCCTTTCTAGTTGCATTTGCTGGTCTGGCCTTTGCTTCCTTCTACCTGGCAGGGAAGTTGCACTGCTTCACACCACAAGGCCGAGGGGAGTCCTGGAGGCTTTGTGCCTTTCTGTCACCTTTACTCTTTGCAGTTGTGATTGCACTGTCCCGCACGTGTGACTACAAGCACCACTGGCAAGGTAAGCAGGGTTTTAATTTTTTTTTTTTATTTATGCCACAGGAGTTTCTGCTTTGCTTGTTTTAACTGTAGAAACGGGCACAGAGGAGTGGCTTACTAAGCATCCACTGAATGAATGAGCAAGCGAGTATGTGGGGCAGCCTGTGGATTGTACTGTGTGTGCATTTACAGCCATGGAGGACAGAGGCTTTGGCCAGTGAGGTGGCTCAGAGGTAAAGGCACACACAAGCCTGGCAGCCCGTGTTTCATCCCTAGAACACATGTGCAGGGAGAAGGAAGAAAGGACTCCAGAGTCCTCACCTCCACAGGAATCCCGCCCAGCACACGCACTCTTTTTAAAGTTAACTTGTGTATAGTATATATGCACGTGTATGCAGGTGTGTGTCCCCCAGTCATGGGGAAGCTAGGCAAGTCAGGAATCCTCTCTGACTTCCCCAGCACAGAGGTTGTTACAAGGGCATGTACGGACACGCTCAGCTTTTTATGTGGGTACTGGGGATTTGAACCCAAGTCTTCTTGTTGATGCAAGTAAGTGCTCTTACCTGCTGAGCCAGCTCCTCAGCCGTCAACTGTTAACCCATCACGCTAAACCCGACCCCACAAGATAGGGTTTCACTAGTTAGCCCTGGGGAACTTGCTACATAGACCAAGCTGGCCTCAAACTCAAAGAATTACTGCTGCCTCTGTCTGCTGGGTGCTGGGATAAAAGGTGTGCATCACCGTACCTCAGCTCCCTTTATTTTTAAGACAGGGCCCCTCCTCTAGCCAAGCCTACACAGAAGTAGAGTTCTGTCTCCACCTCCCAAATGTTGGGATCATAACTGTGTGCTGCCATTTCTAGGCAGAGTTTTTCAAATAGTGAAAACAAGTCGATGACCAGAGTCACAAACGCTTGTTAGCCTTTGTTAAAAAATTCTACCTCAGTCTTTGCTGATTTAACTGGGTGTGTTGATTTGATGTTTAGAAAACAATCTGACCAGTAATTCTATAACTGTATGATAAATCAAGTCACTCTAAAGAAATTAACAGCATGGGCTCAGGAGCATGCTGATTAATAGCCCCTACGAGCAGATTAACTGGGAGGGCCAAGTTGTCTATAACTGTGGTGCGTCTAGCATGGTTTTAAAGTGGGGTGCTATTTTCTCTCCTCAGATGTGCTAGTTGGATCGATGATTGGAATGACATTTGCCTACATCTGCTACAGGCAGTACTATCCCCCTCTGACTGACATAGAGTGCCATAAACCATTTCAGGACAAGCACAAACTTCCATCTTCACAGAAGCCTAGTGAGTTTCACCATTTGGATGTTTAGCTGAATCTACCTCAGTGGAGAACAAGCAAATCAAGCCTCCTAGCTGGACACCATGCACAAGCCAAGGACTTCTAGCTTTTACCTCTTCCAAGGTCAAAGTGAGGACACAGCCACACTGTACTTGCTTCCACAGGACTGTGCACCTTTGCCCCACTTCCAAGGCTAGACCCTGAGGTCTTACTGCCTGGCTTGGCATGGGGCTCTTTCAGTACCTCTCTCACTAGGTTAATGAATCTGGTCCATAGGGTTGGTATTCCAAGATCTAGTGTCTTTACATTGATGTAAGTGTCACTCCAGAAGAAACCTTTTCAGAAAGGAAGCTTTTCATGACCCCATTTTATCCTAGAAGGCTTAATTCCCAAACATCCATCTCCATCCTTTATAAATAAGGGCAGTGCTAGCTAAACTTTGATTCTGTTTACATTTTATGGTAATATCCCATTTAGCCTTAAGTAATAAAACATCGAATTTGGGCCAACTTTTTACTTTTTACTACATAAGAAAGAAAAATTATAGATATTATCTAGAAAATAAATGTATCTTTTTCTGCCTTTTGTTCACAAAGAAATATATGGAACAACTAGAGACTATCACCAGAACTTGATACCGAGGGCCACCTGATAGCTACCTTTTCTTTGTTATTATACTTTAAATAAAATTCTGTCTTATGTATTTCTTCTTATAACATACTCTTTTTTTTTTTTTTTTCATGAACTCAAGCAATCCACCTGCCTCTGCCTCCAGAGTGCTAGGACTAAGCATAAGCATGCAGCAACATTGCCCAGCTATGACAGAGTCTTAAACACATTTTCAATGCACTTCTTTTCCTCAGTAAGTCTGACAGTGAAACAGAAGAGTGTGCTTGAGGTTTTGTACTTTATAAGAACCATCCAGGTCTAGGAGTTCAACACTGGGTTCTCATCTGGTATGAATTAACTGCTGGTGTCTGTTGTTTGAGCTAATATTTATAGATACTAAAGGACAGGCTCTGTGCTTTCTGTATTTACAGGCATACTTAAAATACTTTAAATTCTGAACTATAGCTGTCCATGACAATGAAAACATCAGTCAAGGGAAAATAGCTTACATATTAGTTATTTGCCTAAAACTTTTTAAATTTAGTAATACATAAGAGAAAATGCCTACTATATTCATTTTTCTTGATGATAGACAAGGCCACGTGAATGTAGGCAAATGGTCAATAGTTTTATTTCAGCATTTACTAAAGTCTTAAATATAATCACATATAAAACAAACATTTCAAAAGTGCAAAATATCAGAAAGGTAATCAGTGCTATTCATCTCCCCTTGCAAATAGCCTCTCACTAATTGTGCAGCCAGAATTACGTACAAAATGCTGTTACACTAGAGTTTAAAAACAGCCTTGGTCAAGAGATTGTACATGATAAACAAGTGGCGGGATACAGATGCGTAGCCAGGTCCCTTGCCACCCTACTCACTTGTGTAACACTCAGCACGCCGCCGCCGCCACATGTGGAGCACCCACAGGTGAAGCACGGTGAGGTGCAAGCTCTTTTAGTTACCGTGCCGGACTGCCGGGAAGAAGCCTTTCTTAGTGCAGTGGTTTATCTAGCTCTCCAGGGCCAAGCTGCCCATCTTTGGTCACAAGAACGTACTCTCGGTTGTGCTTTGGTGTACACTCTTAAGTAGTAATGACTGCTAACAAGAGTAAACAAACCTCAAGACAGCAACTGACAAAACTTACTCGTTAGTATTTAATGAATACTACTTAATTCTCAGATATTCTAACTCAAGACATGTTGTAGAAAAAATAAAGTATTCCCTATACCTGGAACTCCTTAGTAGTTTGCTTATCCAGTATTACCCATAAGCAGAACGGAAGGCCAGGCCTGACGTCCTGTGCTTGCCTCTCTAACCTCCAGCGCTTCCCTCCCTTTCCCTGTCTGTAAAGGGCATGTTATGTGTAGGGCCTCTGGATACCATGATAGTTGGTTTACAAAAAATGTCAAAAATCAAAACACAGCTCACCTCCTCTGCCACTCTACAGAGAGACCTGTGGAAATCTTGAGGAGGACGAAGATGACGGCACATGCTGAGGAAGGGGAAGACAGTCTACCGTCACTAGTGCTCAAGATAAATGTGCCTTGAGTTCTCCAGATTCAGCTGCCAGTGCAGTGCACACAGCTGCTCCTCAGACCCTGGAGACAGGGTTTTCTTTCAGAATGTGCTCTTTTCCTCGCCCTAACTTGCATGCTCAACTACACTGCCTGCCAACTGTAAGTAAACATTTTGATGGTACCTCAGAAAGCAGTGACATTCATGTCACAATACTTTACTCAAGCGGAAGGAGCAGGTGACTTAAGTTGGTGCTACTAAAAGATTGCATTTACAACATCAACAGCTGGGAAGGGCCATGTAATTTCAGGTTGACCTTCAAAATAAGCTCACCGTCACCTTCAAAATAAGTATTAGCTAGTAACTTCCACCACTCCCCGCCCTGGTTTGGAATATGGTATAAAAGGGCAGGCATACGGCTCGTACAGCCTTCAGAGTGAAGCAGTTGTAAGAACAAGGGACAGCACCAGTGGTCCCTACAGTCCACCTGTGTGACGGTGTGCAGAGCAGACTGTATTATTAGTAAGCTTCTGTCGGGTCTTCATATGATACACACAGGAAGGAAATGCTGGCTCCAAAACTAGCAGCTAGTCCATATGCATTTTGCTTAGCCTTCCAGTGCAGAGATGAGGGACTGGACCCTAAGTACCTGGACATTTGAATGCACTCCCAACTGGTCCGTTTGTAAGGATAAAGAGTAAGCCTCTCTAGGCCCCCTAAACAGACTATATTCATTTCCATGTAATAAACAAGGACTGGCTGCTGTTCAAGCATTCAAATATGTAAACTTCCTACTACAAAACTGCTGAGTGTTCATACAAAGCAATGAGTTTTCCCTCTGCTTTCCACTAATTTCCAAAGAGGATTGGAAAGATCCCGTGGAATAAGACAGGCAGCATGCAGGACATAAGGTAGCTGAGAAGAAGTCTGCAGCAGCAAGCGTGTGGGTGTTCAGGAAAGGCTCCCTCAATGTCCATCTATGGGAGAGAGTGGGAGAAGGTCAGGGTGGTCACCCAGGGGAGCCAGCCACCACAGAGAACGCCACTGTCTAACACAGACTTCCCAGGTTCCTGTCTGGAGGCCGAGTCTGGTGACTTGGGATCCCAAGCACAAGATAAGATGTGCACCGATCCTTTCCTGAGTGGGCTACTGGACACTTGCTATGGATTTCAACCAGTGCCCTCCATGTGAGTATTACCTAGATCGTGGGGATGTAGACAGATCTATACAAAGAGCTTGAGGCTCTGATGTTCCTTATAACATAAACACTTCACTGCATTAAGAACTTACAGTAAGCAGCCACAGATGGGTCACTTTCACTGTAGAGGCTGATCAAGGAAGACACCCTGGGTTTGGTAGATCTCTTTGAGGACCAGCAATACTGTATCTTCAGATTCCCTGGGTAGAGAAAAACTTACATTGAGAAAAGACAGAATGGACTGTTGCCATATGCTTTTCATGTAATCTATACAAACACCTTGGCTTTATATTTATTTACTTTTTTTTTTTTTTTGGTTTGGTTTTTCAAGACAGGGTTTCTCTGTGTAGCCCTAGCTGTCCTGGAACTCACTCTGTAGACCAGGCTAGCCTCGAACTCTCGAACTCAGAAATCTGCCTGCCTCTGCCTCCCAAGTGCTGGGATTAAAGGCATATTTATTTACTTTTAACTATTGTAAAACTATGTGCCTCAGAGGTGTGTTGTTAGTGGTGTGGGAGGTTCTCTGGCGAAGAGTTATGTCTGGAAATAGGAAGTTAAGGGTCCTGGCACTGTCCCTCATAAAGACAGTAAACGACAAGGAGTCCACAGAGCCGTGCTTGTTCTCGTGCTCGAGGAAGGTCTCACTCTAGCCCATACTGTGCCTGCAACTTATTCTGTAGCTTAGGCTGCTCTTGAATTCACAGAAATCCTCCGACCTCAGCCTCTTGACTCCCGGATCACAAGCATAAACCACGGTTCTTAGCTCCATAGAGGCATTCTTGAAACAGTGAGGAGCCATCCAGTTGACCACCTTCATTTTTAAACTTTTATTTGCTTTTTGGAAAAGGCAATAAAATTATATGACCCAGAATTCCAAATATATCAAATGGGAGTTAGAGATACGGCTCTGTGGCTAGACGGCCAGCTAAGCAAGAATGGGGATCTGAGTTTGGAACACAACACTCACGTGAATAACCAGGCTGCTTAACCTGCTGTGCATAGTGAACAGCACAGTAAGGGAGTAAGACTGCCTGGCCACTAGCCTAGCTCAGATGCACTGAGAGACTCTGTCTCAAAGGAATACAGTAGAGAATGGCCAAGCAGGACACTCAGTGTCCTCTGGTCACCTCACATGGGCATACAGGTATTCACGCACACACACAGAACACATACATAGAGAAAAAATATATGTAACATGCATATTTTGTGTTTATAACCACTTCTTGGGTTACAGAGTCCTTTTCCTCTCATCCTGTCCCTCCTGGACACCAGCCCCAGGTCTTGCTCTTGAGACTCACCTTTCTCACTCTCTGATACCCACCTTCTAACATCCTGCAACTAGCAAACTTCCATTGTTGAGCCTTGCAGCATTCTTTAGAATGTTCTCGTTTTTTGAGATGTTTTGCTATGTGATCCTGGCTGGCTGTGAACCTGCAGATATCTTTCTGCTTCAGCCTCCCCAGTGCTAAAATCATAGACATATACTACCATGATCCAGCTAGCTTACTGCCTCAAACTTAGAAAACCTGATTCTCTTGTCTATCTCTCTTCTCAATGCTGTCTCCGTGGGCACACTGTATAGCACAAAGGCATAAGCAAGCAAAATACCCACACACATAAATAAAAATAGGCCATGGAGGCACACGCCTTTAATCTCAGCACTCTCCGAGTTTGAGGCCAGCCTGGTCTACAGAGTGAGTTCCAGGTAGTCAGGACTGCACAGAAAACCTCTGTTTTGAAAAACCAAAATAAACTAAAATGAAATAAAAAAAATCTTTAAAGACAGAAAGAAAAACTCAGTTCAAATTATTCCAAAACAACATAAGAAAATGAAGTAATTAACCATTTGTTTTGAAAATCATTATTATTAACCAAAAGAAGATAAAAAATGAGAGAACAGACTAAAAACAAATATCCTTCACAAATAGGGACACAAAAATCTTCAGCAAGACATTAATAATAAAATTCAGTGACACAAAAGAAACTGCCATATATAAGTAGGGATCTACAGAGAGCTACAATTTGGGTCTACATCTTGAAAACCAATCAGGAAGGAGTTCGTTCTATTAGTGAAAATACTGTAGGAACTTTGAGCATTTGCTTTCCCAGGACGAAACAAGAAACTGGGTAAAAAAGATTAGAACCAACATTTTCAAAACTATGAAAGTTAGTCTTAGAACAATTTTGGATGTCTATATAGTAAGGTCCTATATGAGAAAAAAATCGTGAATGTATCTACTCTAAAAACAAAACAAAAACAAAAAAACCAAGGCTCTGCACTGGAGAGATGGCTCCACGGCTGAAAGCATTGGCTGCTCTTCCAGAGGACCGAGTTTAGTACCCAGCACCCACATGGCAGCTCACAACTGTCTGTGGCTACAGTTCTAGCTGATCTAACACCCTTGTACACACACACATGCAGGCAAAACATCAATGAGTATAAAATTAAAATAAATTACTTCCTTTTTTAAAAAAAGGCTCAATACGAATAAGATTTTTGTTTTCATTTGTTTGGGGGATTTTTGTTTGTTTATTTTATTTTTAGACAGGATCACAAGTGGTAGCTCTGCCTGTAGCTCAGAGGTCCAACTGCCTGTTCCTCCTGGTGCTGGGATTGCTGGCAACAAAATGTTAATTTACTTACACACACATATAATTATAAGTGGGATTATCTTAACAGCTAACCCTCACACCTCAAACTCCACATGCAGGTTCCTCAGCTTATAACCTCCACAGAGAAGGCCTGGCGATGGCTTATGGGTAGGATGCTTGCTGTGAGAGCAAGGCCCAGAGTTTGATCTGAAGCCATGGAAAAGCTGTATGTCACGTGCATCTGGAATCCCAGTACTCCTATGGTGAGAGAAGAGCCAGGATCATCTGTGAGACACTCTCAGGCCGGCCATTCCAGAGAATGTGTAGCACAGTGGCAGACCAGGCAAAGGAGAGACCACGCCTCACAAAGTAGAAAGCAGGAACCAACTCCCAAAAGTTGTCCTCTGACCTCCACATGTGTGCCAAAGCACAAGTGCTTACTCATGCACACAAAATAAAATAAAAACTTTTAAAAACAGAATTCCAGGGACTGGAGAGATGGCTCAGTAGTTAAGAGCACTCACTGATTGCTCTTCCAGAGCACTTCAATTCCCACGTGGTTCAATTCACACACACACACACACACACACACACACTAATAATAATAATAATTATTATTATTAATAATATTTTTAAGGGCTGGAGAAGATGGCTCAGTGGTTAAGAGCACTGGCTGCTCTTCCAGAGGCCCTGGGTTCAATCCCAGCACCCACATGGAAGCTCACAACTGTCTAACTCAAATTTCAGGGGGATCTGACTCCCCTCATACAGACATATATACAGGTAAAACGATGCACATAAAATAAAAATAAATAAAAAGGGGTATGGTGGCCTTCACCTTTAAGCCTAGGAGGTAGAGGCAGGCAAATCTCTAAGTTTAAGGCCAGCCCATTCTACACCCATTCTACACAGTAAGTTCCAGGACAGCTAGAGCTACATAGTAAGACTGTCTCAAAAAAAAAAAAAAAAAAGGTAGAATGCCAAATTCTCGTATTGTTAAGACAATTAGATAAGCACATGTAAAAACCATGGCCTGGATCTTTCCCCCACTGAGTTGGCTAGTGAGCTGTCACCTTGACACAAGCCATGAGGAGCAAGCCAGTAAGCAGTAAGCCTCTGCTTCAGTTCCTGCCCTGAGTTCCTAAGCTGACTTCTCTTGGTCAGTGAAGAAGTGTAACCTGAGAGTTGTAAACTGAAATAAACCTTTACCTCTTCAAGTTGCTTCTGGTCATGAGTTTTATCACAGCAACAGAAACCCCGAGACACCCATTCTATATAAGAGTAACATCAGAAATGAATCCAAGATTTACATAAAAAAAGAAAGACTATAAAATATCAGAATGGACTATATAGTTTAGCGATAGGGGACAAGAAAGATCTAACTATGACTCAAGCCAGTGTGGTGACATGCCTTTAGCCCCAGGATTGGGAGGCACAGACAAGTAGATCTCTGACTTTGAGGCCAACCTGGCTTATGGATGGAATTCCAGGCCAGCCAGGGCTGAACAGTGAGACTGTCTGAAACAAACAAAAAACTCCTTAGATCAAAAGTCTGGCAAAACTCTCTATTTAGCAAAAACCCATACAGAGGCTAGAAAGATGGCCCTGCAGTAAGAGCACATGCCAGTCTTTCTTGCTGAGGTAGAGTTCCCAGCACCTACACTGGGAACCTCACAACGGCTAGTTACCCTGCCTCAGGGTATCTGATGCCCTCTTCTGACTCCTGTGGGCAACTGGACATACCCACACACATAACTGAGAATAAAATAAGACAATACAGGCAATATCAAATACAAACACATGCACGGCCATCTAATGAACATCAATCAATGCAAAGTCTCAACCATTCAATATAAGGAAAATAAAGGCTGTGGTGGTTTGAATGAGAATGGCCCTCATAGGTCCATAGGCTTGAATTCTTGGCCCCAGCTGGTGGAACTGTTTAGAAAAGATTAGAAGATGTGGCCTTACTGGAAGAAGTATACCACTGGAGGTTTCAAAAGTTCATGCCAGGCCTAGTGTTTCTTTCTGCCCACATCATTCAGTTAGATGTGATCTCTCAGGTACTCCCTACAGCACCATGCTTGCCCACCACTGCACATGCTTGCCCACCACTGCACATGCTTGCCCACCACTATGCTCCCCACCATGGCTAATAGACCAACTCCCTGAGACTGTAAGCCAGCCCCTGTTAAATGCTCTCTTTTATAAGCTGCCTTGGTCATGGTGCCATCACAGCTATAGAACAGCAACTATGACAGAAGTAAAAATAAAGGGTATAGGTAACTCCCAGAGAAAAAAACAGCTCTATATTTATGACAAGAAACTCCACCATTTTCTTTCTTTCTTTCTTTTTTTTTTGGCTTTTTCGAGACAGGGTTTCTCTGTGTAGCCCTGGCTGTCCTGGAACTCACTCTGTAGACCAGGCTAGCCTTGAACTCTTGAACTCAGAAATCCGCCTGCCTCTGCCTCCCAAGTGCTGGGATTAAAGGCGTGCACCACCACTGCCCAGCCCACCATTTTCATAATAGGAACCATTGGCTGGAACTGTGGTGGCACTCGCATTAAATCCTAGCACTTGGAAGGCAGAGGCAGACAAATCTGTTAGTTCCAGGCCAGCCTGGTCTACAGAATGAGTTCCAAGCCCACCAAAGCCACACAAAGAAACCCTGTTCCAAAAGGAAGGGAGGGAGGGAGGGAAGGAGGGAGGGAGGGAGGGAGGGAGGAAGGAAGGAAGGAAGGAAGGAAGGAAGGAAGGAAGGAAGGAAGGAAGGAAGGAA